CCGTCCGGTAAATAGATCATGCCGGTATTGCTATTATGGCTCCTGCACACAGAACGTGGCAACTGGCGGTAACGCTTGCCGCGCGGCGGAAGTTGGCGCGATAGCCAATCAACGTCTCGTTTATTCGGAAGTAATAGATATATAATTTCCACCGCGCAAAAGTTGAACTCAATCCAACTTTTGCCGCGCGATAGAAGTACTAAGTAGTATTACATCATTTCTAGAAGTTTTACAAGGTGAGGCCGTCTTAAAAACGTAGAATTATTGGCTTCTGCCAAAGTCATAGAGAATGCATGATGGAAATATATAAGGTGAAACAATACACATAATGGCGGTAGCAATACTGGAAATAGCCAATCAAATATGTCCGAATATGCACTTTCCTACTGCGCATCCATCAGATTGCTTCACCTTATATATTTCCACCATGAGAGAATGGACTGCGCGATCCTTGTGTCAAAATGGTCGATAGGGATGAGAGAGAGGGACCGTGGCAGACGGCCATTTCTATCTCTTTCCATTCAATGGTGTAATAGGTGAGAGAATGAGAGGGGGATTGGCCGTCTCCGGGGTGATCCCGATTGATCACGGCTCGATTGGACACCATCAATCACAGCGACCGGTGCTTAGGAGCTTTGTAGTCTCAAACGCTGTGTGAGTGGCTCGTGTCCAATTGAGCCGTGTCCAACTGGATGCCACCCCCGTTTCCCACAGTCCCTCTCTCTCATTATTGTCGACCACATTTGATACATTACTTAGATACGGATCGCGCAGTCCATTCTCTATAACGGGGAGCACAGACTCTTGCATAACGCATAACACGTAATGCATAAGAATATGTACCAATCGAAGTTCTCCGTTTCTTTCCTTTCCATGTAATAGAGAACTCTGGTTGGTTCAATTTCTTATGCCTCATGTGTTACGCAAGAGTCTGTGCTCCCCGCTTTAGTCTTTGCTCCAAAGTATCAAATGGGGTGATCCCGATTGACCACGTCTCGATTGGACACCACCAATCACAGCGACCGGTGCTTAGGAGCTTTGTAGTCTCAAGCGTTGTGAGTGGCTCGTGTCCAATTGAGCCGTGTCCAACTGATACCACCCAACGGGTGCCACCCGTATCAAATGTGGTCGACAATAAATAATGAGAGAGAGGGACCGTGGGAGACGGCCAATCCCCCTCTCATTCTCTTTCCTATTACACCATTGAATGGAAAGAGATAGAAATGGCCGTCTGCCACGGTCCCTCTCTCTCATCCCTATCAACCATTTTGACACACGGATCGCGCAGTCTATTCTCTATAGGTTTGTTCGCGTCGCATGCTCCAAAATACTCCTATTTCCTCCAACTGTAGCTCCTACTCACTCAAACGCGCTCGTTAGAGTGAATAGGAGCTATGGTAGGAACATGTTGAAGCATGTTGGAGTATGCGACGCGAACAAACCCTCTTATGTCTTTGGTCTTTGGAGCATGCGACCACACGCGCGCGAACAAACCTCAAGTCGCTCATGAAAACTTTGTGTTCCAAAACCCGAATTTTTTATCCTTCTCCGCCGTAGTTAAAGGTGTCTTTTCATGCCGACGCTCGACGCTCATTTTCGGCGTAAAAAAAATGGTACGTTTCCACTGAGCGCGTCACGCGTCGCGTCATGAAAGAGAGAAAGAGATAAGATTATATAAATGCACAACCCCTCTCTTTCTCTTCTTCGATGACGCGACGCGTGACGCGCTCAGTAGAAACTCAGCCTTAGTCACGTGATAGAAATTGACGAATATCAAGCATTAATTTTGATCACGTGACCTGTTTTTACGCTGAAAATGAGTGTTGTAGCGTCAAGTGAAAATCCAGCTTAAAAGATATTCCTAGCATCGAGTTGACAGAATTATTTTGGAACGCGCACGCTTATTTGCTACGTTTTTGCGCGTCAATTACGTTGAGACCAGTCGAAACTCGAATTTCATTTTAAGGTTATAATCGTTATTTCTCCATACATCGGTAGTCTTGTGATTATGGGATAATAGTGTCTTTTGATATCTTCATTGTACATTATAATGATAACTTCTATGGTCAATAATCTCTCCACTTATAACACAAAGGTAGATTGCAAGCAGATCAAGTTTTTTTTCTTTCCTGAGGATAATTTGAGAGTTCTACCATAACAGTCAACGCGTGGTGGTCGCTCAGTCTCTGAAGTCTCGTTATTGAATATTAGAAGGAAGAATGAATGGTTTCGCAACTGTGGTCTAGCATCCAGCAACAAGGAACCTTCGCACATTTGCGAGCTCCACTCTGAAAAAGTCCAAAGTCCAGTGCATCTCGTCCAAAGATTTGAAATCTAACGCTGTTCCCATTCTGTTTGGTAAGACAGAATAAACTTTGCCATGAGTATACATCTCTGTGCAAAAATATTGATGAGTATTATTGTTTGCACATTCGCCAGTTTGTCCAAAAAAAATAATCATATCTGTTTATAATTTCACTTATTGCATTGTCAATTATTCCATATTAATTTTTCAATTAATGCTATAGTTCAAAATAAAAATATATCTACAAACATATATTGTGATTTTTTACTGGAGTACACAACAAGTAGGGAATAAATGTCTTATTAAATGATCATTTCGTGCCGAATTGATTTTTCGTTCTTGAAACACAAACCTGTGACTGAACTACAGTAATAACGTCACTTCATCATTAAGATTTTATTATTTTAAAGTTATATCTTTTTATTAAATTTTTATTAGATATAAGCTTGCTGTTAACATCGCATGATATATCCATCTTTAAACTGCCATTTGAAAATTTAACATTATTGGACATATATGGATGTGAATTGACTATTTATTCAGATATTTTATTCACAGCTGACATAACGATGAACAAATAATTTTTGTAATTTTAAACACAATTTAATGATCCAATTACATGTATTGTAATTAATTTGTATATATTTTTGTTATATTAGTATAATTTCTGAAGAGGATCCTAAGGATCGAAACATCTTGTTAATTGTGACATCCAGCATTGACTCTCAAAGGCTTTTTATTTTTATTTGATTTACTTTATTAGAGCATATAGAAATTCTGTTATTCATATCTTTTTTTATTCTTATATATCTAATAAGGTTTTTATGAATTATTGTATATCATAATAAAAAAAAATATGTACCTCTCTATAGAATTTTGAAAAGAACAAACAAAGAATATATCACAGACAATGTCAGCAAAAGTATCAGCTAAACGGAGGAAGTTAGATGAACATACGCATGCTTCAATGACACCACCGCAGAGTCCATTCATGCAGAATAATGTAAGTTTATTTTTTATTTGAAAAACTCTTTGGAAAAATATTGCATTCAATATTTTTTTAATTTTACAGAAAAAAATCATTAAATTTTTCCAGTGGTAGTTTTTTAAAAGTTAAATTCTGTATAATTTTAAATTAAGTAGACGCCTTATTATTTTATAAAAATGTAACAAAAATAAAATTTTGTTTATTTAAAATTTGATACAGTGGAAAAATTACATATGACGTACATGCAATGTTTTTTCAATATGAATGTATTAATTTTATATTTGCTTTTAAAGAGCAAATATAAAAATGTATATTCAAGCTTAAGGTCTCCTAGTCTTTTTCTTTCTCGAAAAGAGAAAGATTAGGAGACCTTACAGTTTGAATATATTTTGTGATTCAAATGTAATGTTTATCCGCTTACCTAACTTGGAGATGTTGTAGCAGGAACTGGATTGTTTTTATAGTCAATGTATTCTATTTCATTATTTTTCAGTCTTTTGTGCTTTTTCTATTTATCAAAATTAATTTTTCATTTTTTATTTTTATTTAAATGTTTAATCCGATAGACACGGACAAAATCATACTATTTGTCCACTGGTTTAATTTACATTGTGCACTTGATACACATACTAACTAGTAACTCTCTATTAAATTATTTTAATTTCAGTAATGTATTTAAACAATGATATATTAAATTAGTACTATGTACATCATAATGATTAATTAAATACACGTATCGTGTATATGTTTTAACATATCGCCGAAATTAAGATCATTCAATAGAAAGTTACTAGTTAGTACTCGTATCAAGTGCATGAACTAATTGTAAGCCGTTATGTTTTCATACTTAGAAGCAACGTTCTTTCACTAATTGTTAACTTCTTCTGTCCATAATTCTCTGTTTAATATATGGATTTTGATCACTACAATTTATTACATTGCATGTCTCAAGCTACAAGCATGACTTTTCTATTAAAATATCACTTTATAAAAATGATGATTAGAATTTTCTGAGTAGTCCTTCATTTAATTAGTATATTTTCAAAATGTTAATAAATGATTAATGTACATTCTTATGTTACATTGCAGATTAAAGATTTGTTTGGCAGAAGTAAAGCAGATATGTCAAAGAATTATGGATCTATGAATGGTTCTTCCATATTGACTTCTGTAATACAAAATTCTCAAACGAATACAAAAACATATCGTTTGATAATACAGATAGATAAAATACGAAGTAAACCAGCTCCGAAATGTAAAAAGATACTGCCTTTGGCAACATTTAATAATGACACGAAAGACACAGAAACAATAAAAAGCAAAACGAAAAGAGAACCAGTTAAAGAATCTTGTGTTAAGGGTACCTGCAAACTGAAAAAATGTATATATCAATCAAAAATAGCATTTCAATGCGAAATATGTGATAAATATTTTTTTGAAATGAAACCGCTATCCAAAGGCTACCCTTGTACTAAATGTTCTATGTCTTTTTCTGATCTACAATTATTATGTGTACACATCAACAAAGTACATTTTACTTGTGATATCTGTCTGCTCGAATGTAGCTCTCAAATGATGATTGACAAGCATTCGAAATTGCATGTTAATACCAATTCAAGACATCCATATAAGTGTCATCTGTGTCGTAAAGTATTTGATCATAAAAATAATATTAAACAGCATTACTTGCAAGAACATGCTAGATTAAATCTACCGAATACTGTTCTTCAAGTTACTTCTCCTATAACTACGATACTTCCTAAACAAACTGATTATTCATGTACAAACTGCAATATTAATTTCACAAGCGATCAAGCTTATAGGTAAACTTATATTTTTATAAAAAGAATAATTATTCTTTAAGAGAATTTTGTAAATATTATTGTTATACAGCGTAATTATAAGCATATATGCTTGTATAGTCGTTAATTTAAGAAGTAATATATTACATAAATAACAATTAAGCTTTTATTTCATAAAATATTAATATACTAAGTATGTGTTTCTTTATACATTTTCTTTTAATGCTACTAATATTACAGGAATCACACATGCTCTAATGGAAAGAAAGAAAGCATTACATGTAACATTAAAAACGAGAAGATGATATCTGTACCGAATCCTTTAACCGGAAGTCAAATAGGCATTCTTCAAGCGGTGAAGTTCAGTTGTCGAGTGTGCTCTAAAGAGTTCGACAACGTTAAGGCAGTTGATTTACACACAAGGACTCACTTAGAGGTATCCGAGGATGATCTTAAATGTAACATATGTAAGAAGCTCTTTAAGAACAACACGATATTCACTGAGCATTTAAAACAGCACTTGGATCGCGCGCATGTCTGTCCAATTTGCTCAAAAGCCTTTATCAATAAAATTTCTTTGAACAATCATTTGAAGATGCATACTAAAGTGGTGGAGTAATACAGCTTCACATTTGACACACATTAAAAATAAACTTTATCATGGATATTTTTTGTAAACGTTATTTAGGAGAGAGATTCTCACATGCGAAATAAAATATTTAAAATATAAACATTATTATCATTTGTGTAACTTGTGTGTGATACATCGAACTTTTGTAGTAATGTAATATGGTATGGAAAAGTACATTTAATGTTTGCTTTTTAAATATTAAATAAAATATGCGAATAAAATCGTTTTACTTTTGTTGTAAATTAAATTAATAATTTATACTTGTGTGTTATTTTTTTCATGACAAAGAATTTTTATTATTATACATTTGTTGAATCAACTTTTCAATTGTTGTAAAATTCTTTAACACGAATGATTCTTACCTTTCTTAGGAATCTAAATGTATAAATCAATCATATTGAAGAATTTTACAACAGTTACAAAGCTGTTTTTTCTACTAAACGTAGCCATTGCTAATTTTAGAATATAATTAATACATATAAGAAAATGTTTAGAAATTTTATTTTACATAGATTATATCATATATGCAGTAAATAAGTTTTCTTGGTAAAATTTACTTTATTTTTCACATAATTATAAATTTAAAATATCGTTTAATTATGCCATTAGAAAAAGGATATAGAAAGTATTAATGTAAATATCAAATATATGTATCAGACGAATATTACACATTTTTTATTTACATTTTTAAGTATTAATATTTTTTAATGTGTGTATATTATATATACATTTATATAGAATAAACTGGAGAGCGCACACTTAGTGTATGTGTGTATTATGCTATTCAATAAATGAATTACTATACAGAGTGGGTCAAAGAAATGAGAAATTTTTTCTGCATTATTGACAGATTGTATTGGTTAGGCTATAATAGGCTTTTCGTTGATGCTATTTAGTAAATATGGAGCATTGGAGTAATATGCACTTTATATACAATTGTATTATAAAAGTAGTGACTGTACTCAAACTGCTCATAAAAAATTTTGCAGTCACTTTATCTTTACGATCCTGTCATTAGTTTATGCGATTCATTGTTCTTTTTTTATAAAATGTCTTTTTTTAAATGTGAATTGCATGAGCTGATGATTGCTGACAGTGCTGACATGGAATCGTAACGACATAGAATAGATGAATGCTGCAAAGCTCCTTATTCATTTGTCTTTGTTTAATATTTAGGTTGTGTTCTATTATTCACTGCAAATACTGAAAATCTATTCTCATTACATATAGATTTTCGATACTCGCATAACAAAAAAATCTTAATAAACATCTTCATAAATCTTAATAACTAATAACAAAGATGAAATAATTCCATGAGCGTTGCAAACGCTAGATGAAATGGTTTTTCTACAATAAGCCATTACCTAGGTCTAAGTCCACAACCTTACTTTCACTCGGATCTACAATAGATTTTTAAGCCTTAAGCCATAAGAAATGGACAAATCACGATCGATTATTCTTCTCGCATTCAGCTGTAATTGGTCAGATTCTTAAGGCTTAAGACTTAAAACACCTATTGTAGATCCGGACTTAAGAGGCCGTAAGGATCTTAGCAGAATAACCTTAAGACAATATCTCTCGTGACCTAAGTCTTTTTTCTTTAGTAATACACAATAACTGTCTTGTAACTTAAGTCTTAAAGATATATATAGGACAAGTAGCACTG